TGTATGTATGTATGTATGTATGTATGTATGTATGTATGTATGTATGTATGTATGTATGTATGTATGTATGTATGTATGTATGTATGTATGTATGTATGTATGTATGTATGTATGTATGTATGTATGTATGTATGTATGTATGTATGTATGTATGTATGTATGTATGTATGTATGTATGTATGTATGTATGTATGTATGTATGTATGTATGTATGTATGTATGTATGTATGTATGTATGTATGTATGTATGTATGTATGTATGTATGTATGTATGTATGTATGTATGTATGTATGTATGTATGTATGTATGTATGTATGTATGTATGTATGTATGTATGTATGTATGTATGTATGTATGTATGTATGTATGTATGTATGTATGTATGTATGTATGTATGTATGTATGTATGTATGTATGTATGTATGTATGTATGTATGTATGTATGTATGTATGTATGTATGTATGTATGTATGTATGTATGTATGTATGTATGTATGTATGTATGTATGTATGTATGTATGTATGTATGTATGTATGTATGTATGTATGTATGTATGTATGTATGTATGTATGTATGTATGTATGTATGTATGTATGTATGTATGTATGTATGTATGTATGTATGTATGTATGTATGTATGTATGTATGTATGTATGTATGTATGTATGTATGTATGTATGTATGTATGTATGTATGTATGTATGTATGTATGTATGTATGTATGTATGTATGTATGTATGTATGTATGTATGTATGTATGTATGTATGTATGTATGTATGTATGTATGTATGTATGTATGTATGTATGTATGTATGTATGTATGTATGTATGTATGTATGTATGTATGTATGTATGTATGTATGTATGTATGTATGTATGTATGTATGTATGTATGTATGTATGTATGTATGTATGTATGTATGTATGTATGTATGTATGTATGTATGTATGTATGTATGTATGTATGTATGTATGTATGTATGTATGTATGTATGTATGTATGTATGTATGTATGTATGTATGTATGTATGTATGTATGTATGTATGTATGTATGTATGTATGTATGTATGTATGTATGTATGTATGTATGTATGTATGTATGTATGTATGTATGTATGTATGTATGTATGTATGTATGTATGTATGTATGTATGTATGTATGTATGTATGTATGTATGTATGTATGTATGTATGTATGTATGTATGTATGTATGTATGTATGTATGTATGTATGTATGTATGTATGTATGTATGTATGTATGTATGTATGTATGTATGTATGTATGTATGTATGTATGTATGTATGCATGCCCTAATCAAAGTCCTATCCTTACATTTGCCTGGAGGGAGTAAGGTAAACCTCAGTGAGGATAGCCAGTGTCCCAGGTGAGATTCAAATCAAGTACCTCCCAAATACAAATGAGGAGAGTTATTTAAGTCTCATGGCATTAAGAGTAATCAAATAAAGGATGAACTAGGGGACATACACTATATATGACAGAGATGCATACAAATGTTTTGACAGGAAATCTGAGGAGACTGTTTAGGAGGCCTAGGCATAAGTAGGATGATATTATTAAAATGCACTGTAAAAAAAGTAGGGAAAAAGAAACTTGCATAATTAGTTGATACAAAATTGTACTCTTTCCCAAATATCATCATGTAAGGATAATAGAGCATGCAAAATTTTCATCAGAAAACCTGAAGGAAAAAGGCCATTTGGGAGAACTGGGCATAGATGGGATGATAATATTAAAACATATCTTAAAGAAACATGGTGTGAGGGTGTGAACTGGATTAATCTGGCTCAGGACAGGTATCAGCGGAAGGATCTTTTGAGCACAGCAAGGAGCTCTCAATTTTCATAAAGGTGAATTCAATATGCACCAGCTCACATTTAGGCACATAAATAAGCGCTTACACTTACTAGATAGATGCGTGCCACGTATTCAAAAGACTTGGGACTGGATATGTCATACACCAAACATGCAACATCACACTGTACTTCTGAGGGCTGGAGTGGCTCCAATACGTGGCGCACGTCAATATCACGCAGGACAAGATACTTTTCCTGACCATACACTTGAACTGCATTAACGGTGCACTGAGGATTGCCCTTCAGTTCTGACAACTGGATGTCCTGCCAATGGAATTGAAACACACATACACAATACAAAATATTGATGCAAAGACAACGCACAGACATGCTCACATACATTTGCACCATTACAGGAAGTACCATTATTTTTCTGAAGATACCAATCACACAATTTTATTTGGACACACAGTTTCCGTAGTTTACTGAAATTTTATTAAAATCATGAGAACAATACGAGAAACTGTAATTATGTTTCTTTGAGACCCACCTTTAGGAGTTAGAAAGTTCCTATTCACTGGGCACTCACCTATAATGGACAAACTCTTAAATACCAAATATAAATAACATCCATCCAATTCTTCAGGCATTAGTGAAATGTACATACATACATGAATACATGGGCGCACGCACATGTACTTATAGACAGCATTCCAAAAATTGCTTTTTCAAGAAAAACATGTAAATCCAACAGAATCTCAAGGTCATAGTATTTTCTCATACAGGATGTCCCAGGAGGAAAGATAATTATTCTGAGAGATCATAGTATCAGTCAATCTATGCAAAAACGTGTATCTGATCATGTGTCCTACTCCAAACAGTTTCCGAGATAGAGCTATTTCACTGTACAGTAGTGTACTGTACAGACGAACAGCATGCAATGTCCTCAAATGAGTTGCAAGATGCACTGATGTTGACAACGGAATTTTCTAAAATGTACTACACTAGGTGAACTGTACCAATTTTGTCACTTGAACAATAAATACCATTATTAGGAACAGTATGTAATATCTCTTTCTTATCAAAAATTGTGGAACTGTACAGTGAAATAGCCCTATCTCAAAAAATGTTCAGACTATGACACGTGTATATATAGTTTTTTGCTTAGAATGACCAATACCATGACCTCCCAGGATACTGACCTTTCCTCCTGGGACATGCTGTATAATATGAACAAGAGAAAATAAAAAGATGGTCACCGAATGTTACAATCAAAAAGTGGTTATATAACACTTACATACAGAATTAACCCTTAAAGTTCATTTAAATAATATTCATAAATTCACACAAGATTTACAGTTCTTACAATGGTGAGCATTACAATAACTGCCTTCTGGAATGTGACAGACACTCGATATTACAGAAAATGGGTAACAACATTTGAGAGGAGCCTCTTGCCTTCACCTTGAGGGTAGAATTATGGTGATCTTTGAGGCCCTGAAAGTGGAGGCAGGAGGTTCCTGCAAAATATTGGTATTTTTCTACCACACTCTGCATCGCACCACAAGACAATAATCTTGAAACAAATCTTTTGTATCTTACCTCTAAGTTATCTCCTATGAAACAGCGACACAACATGGATTTCCCTGATCCTCGAGGGCCAATCACATGACACTGATACACACTGCGAGTTGTCTGTCTTTTGGCTAAGTCCAGTCTTTTCTCTCTTGTAACTGGACATACAAAATACACTGTATTTACCTACTGGACCCAAGAGAATAGATGACTGAACAGTATCAGATCATTTTCTTGTGAAGGTGAAATTGGATCCCTTAGCATTTAGGCCATAGGCAGGCCCAATGTATCAGCCCTGGAGGATCAATAAGAGAATGGAGTACTGGTAGAATGATAAATGACAGGGGAAAAGTGAAGTACTTGGAGAAAAACCGGTCCTAACACCACTATGTTCACCACAAATCTCACATGTACTGGAGCTGAATCTGGACAAGTACAGTGAGAAGTTGGTGACTGCCTGAGCTATGCATGGTCAATTCATGACCTTACACAACAGAAAGGTTTCATATAATGTGGAGATTGAGGTGTGTGTTAGCCCTGATAGGGTAGTGCATCATAAAGAGGGCTGCCACCCACATAACCACAACCTCCAGTGGCCCTTGGGTAAAACAGATGTGTGATACTGCAAGACCAGCCACACACCCTCTTTCTTTTGTGGTTTGTTTCATGACAGTTACAGTATATAGACTACATGGCTCAAAATTGTAGGATAACTGATTAATAATGACTTATAAAGGATTTATTGTGACACTGTTGTAACCTCATCAAGGTACTACCCCAGCATTTGCCTGGAGTGACTGAGAAAGATCACCAAGAACCTTAGTCACGATAGCCGTGTCCCAATGGAAATTCAAACTCAGCACCTCCCAGACACAAGTCTAGAGTGTTACCATGAGATGAACCTGGTTTGGCTGCCACGTAGTTCCTTAGCTAAAATAAGATATGTTTTATTTATAATGTAAATATCACTGTGCACTGACCTTGTATTGCTGACAACTGACCCTTGGTGTCAGTCATAGGATAACCTAGGTAGGCAAAGTACTCCAGTGCTTTTGGCAGATCAAGCAATGTAGTGAGTACCCACTGTGACATGAAGCCTTGCAATGTTATCCAACCCTGCACATAACAAAATATTCATCATATTACCTGGCCTAATACATGCAATTCATATACAGATCAGACATTTACACAACATCGGACTGAAACATCACATCCACACTATTACCTAACTGTTCTTTAAAGCAGAGGTTCTGAACAAGAGGTATGTAAACCACATATGGGAGTATGTGCACAAAGCTATTCTTACTCTTAATTAGACAGTACATCTTGAAGATGTATATGGCCTAAGGGGCTTTCAACCCCATCTCTCCCAACAGATATCCACCAACCCATACACACTGCCCCCACATAGGCCCATCTCTCCCCCTAGATGCACCCTTCTTCCAAAATCTACCCTCAACCAAAAGTGATCCCCCTGCCACTTTCCTGCTGCCTGACTCACAGCATAGGAAGTTATGCAACATTATTATGATGGGTGATCACTTGAGAACATCAAATAACAACGGATATTGCCAGGAATACCTCATATCTCATGCTTCTGCATAATACATTACTCGTACAATATTTGTACAAACACTGTGATAGGATCTTTGAACAAAGTAAGGAATTTTCAACTTCCATACAATACTGGGAATTTTTTGCTACAAAATGCAGCGACCATCGCACAATAAGCATTATTGCACATACAGCAAAGATAATAGCAAAGATACTTAAAAGAAGAATTGAAAAGAAAATAGAGGATGTACTTGGAGAAGATCAGTTTGGATTTAGAAGAGGAAAAGGAACCAGGGATGCAATTGGGATGATGAGAATTATAGCGGAACGAACTTTGGAGATAGATGAAGAACTGTGTGTTTGCTTCATAGACTGGCAGAAGGCATTTGACCGGGTAAACTGGACCAAATTAATGCAGATCCTAAAAGAAACAGGTATCGATTGGCATGAAAGAAGATTGATTAGCAAATTGTACATGGATCAGAAAGTTAGAGTACGACTGGACAGAGGGGAGACAGGAAGTGTGCAGATTGGAAGAGGAGTTCGACAAGGATGCTGTTTATCACCAATTCTGTTCAACTTGTACAGCTTACGCCTTACCAAGGAAGCTCTGGATGGGCTCGGTGACTTCAAAGTAGGAGGGCAAATTATTCAAACTGTGAAATATGCAGATGACCTTGTGTTAATGGCTAAGGAAGAAACTGTGCTACAGGGCATGATTGATAGACTAATTGAAATTGGAAGGTGCTATGGCATGGAAATGAATGTGGAGAAAACAAAAGTAATGAAAATTTCGAGACAACCAACCCCAGTCACAATAAAGATAGACCAAAAACAAGTGGAGAATGTGAAATGTTTTAAATATTTGGGTAGCTTGTTAACAGATGATGGAAGGTGTACTTGTGAAATTAAATCCAGGATTGCCATGGCAAAAGCTGCATTTAGCAAGAAGAAGAATCTTTTTACCAGCAAATTGGACTTAAATTTGAGGAAGAAACTAGTGAAATGCTACATTTGGAGCATAGCTCTGTATGGGGCTGAAACATGGACACTTAGGGCAGTAGATCAGAAACATCTGGAAAGTTTCGAAATGTGGTGTTGGAGAAGAATGGAGAAGATCAGTTGGACCGATTATGTGAGAAATGAAGAAGTGTTAATTAGAGTCAGTGAGCAGAGGAATATCCTACATGAAATAAGAAAACGGAAGGCTAATTGGATTGGTCATGTTTTACGCAGAAACTGCCTTCTAAAAGAAGCTATCGAAGGAAAGATAGATGGGCGGATAGAAGTGACAAGAAGACGAGGAAGAAGACGTAAGAAGATGCTGGATGACCTTGGGGACAGAAGAGGATATTCTCATTTGAAGGAGAAAGCTCTAGATCGCATTAAGTGGAGGAAGTGTTTTGGAAGAGACCGTGGACCTGTCGTCTTGACAGATTACTGATGATGATGATGAGTGACTACTAACTTCTCAAGAAAGACAACTGTGCCATGGTATTTGTTGTTTTTACTAAAGAATATTATTTCAATTGATATGGCTTCATTCTTAAGATATCATAAATAGAATGTTATATAAACAGTCAACATGATATCCAATTTCAAAAATATTAGAACCACTAAACTATAACACTTATATCATCATGCAAGGAAATGGGTATGAAACACAATGCCTTTGAATTTGTTGAAACTGTACGGTGGACATCAGGACCCCACAGAGGTGCAGGACATGTTGAAAATAAATCATCTACTTCAGCTGGAGAGAGAGCACCATCTCTATCCTTGTCAAAACGTTCAAACAGAGTAGTAAGGAACTGCTGGCCCTTGTAAGATATCTCTGTAGTGCAGCCAGCAGGAACAAGAATGCTGTTTCAGAGCATAAGAGAACATTCTGCAGGTTTTCAAAACAAAAATACACAATGATCTAATCTACGTAATCTATGCATAAGTAACACCTTGGAAAACAAAGATATATGTATTGTTTTTTTTCTTATGTTGCTAATTCATTTCCAAATAAGTACAATAAAACCTGTCTTAAATGGAATCTCAAGGGACCAGAAAAAATTTCCACTGAAGCCAGGTTTCCATTTAATCAAGGTATACTATAATAATTAAACCAGGACATAAACGTATTTGAGACAAAACAAAACAACATGCTCATTAATTTATTCACACTATAATCACTGCCCCCTCGTTGGTGCCTCCACCTTATCGTGGTTTGAGTATGCCAAGGACCCTGAGAGCTATACCAGCGGTAGCGTAGCTACTGGCAGGGCCTCCCTTGCTGGACAGGTCAAAGGGTAGGCATCAGACGAAGAGAGACACCAAAAACTGATGCCGGAAGCAGCGTCATCAGCAGCGACTTGAAGCACAGAGCAAATGATGCTCGAGATGGTTCAAGTTCGTATAGCAACAGGCGTGACCAGAGTGGTTTGAACGGCTGCTGTACTGCGATGTGGAAAGCAAATGGAAAAACTACCACATTATCACTTTTCCTGGATAGTCTCTTTCCAAAAACAGAAGATCGCATTAAGTGGAGGAACTGTTTTGGAAGAGACTGTGGACCTGTCGTCTGACAGATTACTGATGAATGAATGAATAATCACTGAACACATGCAAACATTACACTGAACAGGAAAAAATTGTAGTACTCACTTTTTATAATTTTACCAGAACTCCGGCAGAGTTTTCTGCATGCAGTTTACTCTCTTTGCTGCCTGACTTTCCACAAACACTTTAGATTGAGAAATTAGAGTAAGCATGTCTGAATTATTCCGTTGCAGGGAAAACTCCTGCAGTACCTTTAAACTGTTGGCAGCATCCTGATAAGTCTTCACTCTACACTTTTCTTCTTCTAACACAATGTCATTTTCCTCTTCTTCCTCTTCCGCCTCCTCCTCTCTTCCTTTTCGATTTTCTCTAAAATTCTCAACTAATACATCGATATCCATTGTGTCTGGTTCTGTTTGCACATCTTTGTCTATGTTGATGTAGTCCTCAGCATTGCAGTTACTGAAAGCAGCTTCATTCATGCAATGTTTTAAGTCCTTCTGGTCATTCTCATTTTCTACACTAGGAGTAACTTCTACCGCAGAAAATCCTGCTTTTTCGAAACACTTTGTCACAGTTTCTGGTAACAACTTCTTTACTGCTTGACTTATCCAAATAACCACATCTAGAACCGAGACAGTTCTTGCAAGCTCAGAGGCGGATGATGTAGAATCTATATTGATGAGCAAAGATTGCATTAATAATTTACGATAGTGGACCTTAACATTCTGAATGATGCCCTGATCCATTGGTTGAGAAACATTAGTGGTGTTTGGAGGGAACCAAGCAAGTCGCACGTTGGAAAGTTCGATATGGGGGTGGCATGTTGTGTTATCCAAGAACAACAAAACATGCCGATTTTGCATTTTCATTCTACCACTGAAGGCTGTTAACCATTCCTCCATGATCTGTGATGTCATCCATGCCTTTTTGTTGGAGCTCCACTCAACGGGAAGTTTCTCTATGTCCATGTTTTGGAAGCATCGTGGCTTTGCTGCCTTGCCAATCACTAAGGTTTTCTCCATTTCACCTGACATAAAACCACATAGAAAAACAGTCAATCTTTCTTTGCAAACATTTTTCACCTTTCAGACATAGCAATTTATTCGGAAGCACGTGAAAGAACAGTCCAGTCTCATCACCGTTTGCTACGTTTTCAGGTTCATATCCCTCGATTATGGATGGCAATTTAGCTTCCCATTCCTCAATGGTCTCACTATTTACATCATTTGATTCACCAAAAAGTTCATTAAAAACTATCCGATGTCTTTTGCGAAAACTCTCCAACCATCTGTTAGATGCTCTGAATTCAGTCATCCCCAGTTTTTCAGCGACTTTTTTAACATATTCCTGTTCCATAGGACCCGACAACTGGTGATTTTTCGTCCTCACACTGACAAACCACTCCCGCACTATTTCATTAACGTCTTCGTTTGCAGCACAAGTTTCCCACCGCTTCAAAATTTCCGTTTTCTTCTTTAGAATCTCATACACTTGAGTTTTACCGACGTTAAACATCTTCATGATCTGCTTAACAGACAATTTATCTTGCTCACTCACATGAACCACTTTTAATCTTGTGTTAAGATCAAGCACAACTCTTGTCGTTGTAGCCATGACGACAAATGCTAGACTAAAGTAAAACTGTAGAATGTATAGGATGCCTAAAATTATTCTAAACGATGCATTCCAGAAGACTGGAAATTTTCCATATAAAGACTTATTTTGATTTCTGTTGTCCGTCTTAGACAGTTTCCGTTTAATCCACGTTATTTAACAGCTTTTTCAGCCCCAGAGTCAAGGGACCTGAAAATATTTCCATTTAATAAAGGGTCCGTTTAAGGCAGGTTTTACTGTATTATAGGAAGATGTTAAAAAACAAACAAACAAACAAACAAGCAATAATGAAAATCTCTGTGTTAAATGTAACTGACACATTATGCTTGGATGTAATAGTCTCAGAGTAAGTTCCTGGAATCTTGTTTAGAGTGTTTTGAGGTTGATCCATGATCAGGTTTGTGTGTGGATTTCTCAATTCAGACTGGAACCTTCACTTCTACCAAAGAGAAGAAACAATGAAGACCCCACCACACACTACTCACAGTAGGGAGCCCACCTTAAACCGCAGGTCCCCCACCAAACATCACCTATATGTGCCCCAGTTCAGATGTGGATTCTATGCCCACCTCAGGAAGGTCGACACTGTCTGCATCTGGAGGCATTAGACAAACAACACCCTCAAATGTAAGCTTGTCTTCTGGCTCAGCTTACTCTTTGAGCCTGAACATGGAGGCAGCAAGTTCATTCGAAACACTGGTAAACCTCTACCAGACTACATGGCATAGCATCCCACAAGGTGATATTTTTCAACACTTTGGAACAGTGAACATGGAAGAGATTATGAAACAATGCAGAAAGGACATAAGAATCTCTCACTCCGTAACATTGGAGTCATACATTGGCAGGACTGTCGAATGTTTCTTTTCTTCAGTTTTCATTCCGACAGGTTCTTGTCTAAATTTCCTGTCCTCTTTAATTGAACAAAGAAGAACCACAATTGCATGACAGAGTCTGCGATAATGATAGATACATATGAAGACAGACAAGAACACATAATAATACATACATTGTACCACTGAAAATGCAACCCCAATTTACAACAGTTCTTAGACAATCCAATTTGATGCAACAGTCTTCTCGCAGATTTCTGTGGTGATCAGACTGATGTTTCTCCAACTCTGGAGCGCATACCACCCATCAGAACTGTCTGACAACAGTATACTGCCTGTTATATTTCCTATGTTGTGAAATTTTGTTACCAGTCAGTATACTACCCTTGTCTTATTTGCTGCTTTCCTATCAGGGAACACACTGCTAAATGCTTCATGAACAACAGCAAATGATTTTGAAGTGAAGTAATGATCAAGAACAAACATATATTCTGCTAATAAATACATTACACTCACACCAACAGAGCTTCGGAATAACTGTTGATACCAGCAACCTAGCAACAAAGATGACACTGACTTAAATGTCATGAGAACAGTTAGGAAAGCCCATTATATGGATAAACAGCTTCTGAACATTTCTGTACTACAGTACATGATTATTGTTTGGGTTGTGTTTTACATTGTAAATCCTGTAAAAATAATTCTCACTTCAAACATGAAACAGAACCATATACTCCAAAGCAGATAAAATCTTAATTCACCATGATACTGTTAAACTGTGTGAACTCAGTGTACACTTACAAAGGCCGTAAGAAATCTTTTGACATCTCCAGGTTGTTCATGTATCCAAATTTTCGCAGAATTCTCCATGTAGTCTCATTACGACCTCGCTGGATATAAAGACAATGAAGAAACAGGAAGCCTGCAAAGTATTATTTTTTGTGTAAGATTTGAGGTTCTCACAGCAATGAGTATTAAGCTCAGAGTCCTCTGGGATGTGACAGTGTGTAATGCAGTCTTATAGCCTGACAAACAAGCCAGTACATTCCCCTGATCACTGGTATCTATATTTACATGGTGTCACATCTCAGAAGTACATGTTCTTAACACTCACTGTCATAAAAACCTCAAATTTCTCAAAATGGTTACATCAATACACAGCACTACATGTTGAAATACCTCTCAGTGTGAGGGCATTGTTAACTACACCATCAGAAATGTTTCTCCGCACAATTGCTTTTACTTCATCCAAAACATTTGGTTGTAATGGAACATCAAAACAGTAAGTCTGGAAATTGTTCAGTTCAACATCATTCAACAGTCCATCATTGTCAGTGTCACATACCTACAAAAGCAGAACAGAACATTCAGACAAATTTAATTTACTAAAGTCAATACATAGTAAGATCACTGTCAGATGATATAGATCTGTCTTAATAAAAAATATTATCCCCAGTCCTGTATTTAAGCATCCTGTTGCATTACTATATCTAATACTGTTTACTGTACTATACAGTCCATCAACAACGCAACAAATTGTTCTTTCTTTCTTACACTCTCACTTGACACAACATGTTTTGGCCCTAAATGGCCATCTTTAGGTGTCTTACTATGCTGAAACTGCTACACTGCACTAATATTGTTCATTAGTCGCATATGCATCTGCAATCTGTAATTCTGCCCTTTGCTTGTGCGTTGTTCCCTCTAGCAATGTATGGTGTCATCTTCAATTTTAATAAATTTTTATAGATTTAAATTGAGCAAGCTACAGCGTGTTATTTTAGCGCATACCAATTGACTACAAAGTACAGTAAACTGCATTAAACTTATTCCCATAAAAATTATAGACCTTTAAATACACATTCATGTACAAACACTTGTAAATCACGGTTTGAGAATTCTAAATTTAAATTGGTCAGAGATGTTCTCTAACTAAGAGTTCTTGAATAAAATAGGATAGTAATAAATTCTATTGGAAGATAAAATAAAAATGTGCAGGTACATCCATGTCTCTGCAATCTGAGTGTTCAAGCAATAAATAAATCCATATATGTCTTAGTCAGTGTGAAACACTTCTTTAACCTTTTTAGTCCAGGAATACTTACTTACTTATGCCACAACTCTACAGTCCTGTAAGTATTTTGGCATCCTTTATAACAGATGCCCATTTCTATTATTTGCCTTCCACTGCCCTCTTTTCGCTTCCAGCTCTCATACATCATTCTTCTACATCTTCCAGCACCTCAATTTGGGCCTTCCCCATTTTTCTTGTACGTTCTGGTTTACTTTCAAAACCTTCTTACCCACCCATGTCTGATCCATTCTAATCACATGACCTAATTACTACAACCTGATCCTGTTAATATCCTCCATTTTATCAGGGGTTTTATGTTATTCCCTCATTTCTTGGTAAGTTCTGATTCCTTTGCTGAGTTACTGGTCCATACACCTTCCTTGAAATTTTCTCCTCCCATGTACATAACATAACTTTACCCTATTTGGTCACATGGTCTGGAAACATGGAATTTAAATCTCTCCTTACTAAGTCACTGAGAGCTAGATTATAATTTGGCACTAACAATGTTTATACGAAAAACAATGTAACACTAGCTGTGCTCAATTGGTACATGTACAATCATTGTAGTGCGATGCACAGACAATTAGAGCACTTTCACATGAGCTCTCGTGAACCGGCTCACTAGAGCTGCAGCTACAAGAACACTGTTCTCAGTGTCACTTTTCACACACATCATCTGACTCCACAGAGCCAGCACATGTGAGTGGCCACCCAGCTCTCCTTGCTGGCAGCCAGCTCAAGCGCGCTACTGGCAGGGCATGCAGTCTTATCAAGCCTTTCAGACGAGCGCATGTGAACTCGGCAACTAGTAATGTCACTGCTGTTCTCTCCACAGCGGGGATACATCTCCTCATGCTGGTGTCTCTCTGATGGAATGAAAACTCAAACTGTTGTGTAATTCATCGAAAGAAGATATGGACATTCTGAATTACAAAATTTTCTTTCGTCCTCCCATAGCTTATGAAACAGAATATAAAAGCATCCTTCTTCTAATCTCAAGCTAATTATAGGATGAACCCATAATGTTCGATTACTTTCCTTTCTCTTTTTCTTATCAATTGCTAGGATTAATAAAATTGCAGCTTCTTCTGCTTCAAGCATGACTACACTACGCACTGCACTGAACTACTGTCATGCTTTCGGTGACTGCAGTAGCTCACATGAGCAACTGTTCAGGATAGGCAGCTCAGCTGAGCGGCTCCCGTGCATCAGTTCATGAGAGCTCGTGTGAAAGCGCTCTTAAGGCTAATTTAATGTTTATGAAAAGAAAAAAATCATTTTATGGCATTACATCAAAACCAACAACTGTCACTTTCACATAAGCAATATTACTATTATTAATTTCCATATTTTCCTGTGCGTAATGGGGAAGTCAAGGTGTTCTAATGATGCTTCATTTCGTTATCTTAGCGAGCATATAGCAAGTGTATATAATCTGCCCACTTACCTTAAAAATTCTAACAAGAGCTTTCTGACAAGCATCTGTCAACTGCAAAAGAAAGCACACAAATATTACACAGTTACAAACACCAGCTTAAGAAGACAAGGACACTCTGAACTGCACAAATGACATGCCGCACTTACCTCTTGTTGATCAACATTATACAGTGGAGGTACCGGATGTAACACAACCTTTTGAGCACAGTAGAACATCTCTGAAATGTTCTTCAATGTTCTTGCAGAACACTTAAAAGATTAAACCATAATCACTATTAGCTTCCATCAACATGGCACAAATGTAGAAACATTTAACTTTTTTTTTGCACATTTCACCTAGAAGCTGTATTATTTAAAACAAACACAGAATAATCAAAAATAACAATACAACAGGCTAACAGACATCCATCAACAAATGTTGACTTCCTTTGGCAATCAGAAAAATATTCTACCTGCCAGACATTGTCCCACAAGCTGTGCCCACCCACACCACTACAACTGCTCCACACCAGCCAACTTACGTGCACATAATGCACAGGACATGTAAAATGGTCTCTTATATTACATACTGTTGTCTACAAAATATAATTTACTGTTCAAATTTACAGTCTGACATTTGGTGAACAACAACAAAAAAAACTGGGACAGAATAATGAATAAATATAAAAAAAAATCCCCTTATCAGATTAAGCTTTCATTCATCACAGAGGAGTAAATGAATAGGTTTCTTGAGCCCCGCTATCAAATATGGTTTGGGTCCACAAGGACAGGAAAGGTCATCTGAAAATAAAGTGAAGGAGATCCCAAGCAATATACAATCAACCTTTTGCTACACACAATTCAAATATTATCTTTACAGAGTAGGCACACAAAAGTTTTAATTATGTTTATAACAATCATTTTACCTGTAACACAAGGACCTTTAATGCAAATTTTAACACATATTCATTCACTGATTATTTACTTAAAATTACAAAAGTACACAAAAATTAGAGAGATACAATATTCTCAGAACATGCATATTTAGTAAAATTAAAACAGTAAAGTAAAGGTATCCCTGTAAAAGGCCATGGAGGCCCATAGGATTGTGAGATATTGAGGTTCCCACATTTTCTAGACAATCGGCTCATAGATGGCAGTAAGATGGTCAGCCCTATGTGCCGGGTGCCCTTTACCCCCAAGAATATTCCAAGAATATTCCTGACACTCATTTCTGTTAGAGAGTGAGTCGACCTCAGGGCCATAGTACGGCTGGAAGGATTAGGTCAACTGAAAAAAATCCAATGACCTCATCGGGACTTGAACCTACGACCTTCTGGCTTGTAGCATAGTGCCTCAACCAACTATGCTACTGCGTGCCCCCAAAGCATATTTAGTCAAATCATTAATGATTATTAAATTCATAAGTTCTATTAAACTATACTAAACTCAGACACATCTCACAAAATCAAAATTCTGAGACCCCCATTATGGTACAATCTCTACAATTCTGGGAGCCAGGATAGCAAAGTCAGTACAGAGACTTGGTTACAGGCTGGACAAGCTGGAAATTGGGGTTTGACTGTGGGCAGAAGCAGAAATTTTTCTCTTCATCACAGCATCCATACCAGCTTTGGGGCCCATTCAGCCGCCTGCCTAAAAGGTACCAGGAGCTCTGTCACCAGGGATAAAGCACGTGAGGTATGTAGCTGATCGCTCACCCCTACTACTGCCTAGGTTCAGTATGTGTGGAGCTTGACCTCCACTTTCCATGGCTTCACACATGATGTTTAATTAAGCACAAGGACAACTTTGCCTTCTTCACCTTAGGTTCTCCCTGTAAAGTCAAGTGGCTACTGACTGCTCTGAGGCTATGGAATGAAATCACATGAATGACAGGGACAATGAAGTCTATTGCATCTACCAATGTATTCCCCCCTCCAGCCCCCTCTGCCATATGTCAACCAGACCAAAATGCTTACCACTGCAAAAGATTATCAGATGGTTCTCCATACAAACATACCTATGAGCAGAATGGCTATATGACTGGAGGGAAAATATGGAAGTACAATGGTGGTAAGAGCTTAACAGCTTGTAGGAACTGTGAAGTGATTCATTAATGGGACTTATTCTGCAGCCTTGGTATAGCTATAAATACACATCAGCAATATCTTCATGTTTTATAATGTCTTTGTGATCATGCTACTACATGCCATGTCTCTACAAAATATAAGTATGGATTATTAACTTACCTCTACACACATCTGAACCTCTGGAAACTCATCCATGATAGTGGACAGAGACTGGAACAAAATTTAAAATAAAATAAATGAACAATTTGAGGTTTTCATGGTGGTGAATATGAAGAAGACTGAATTTTTCAAAACAAATTAATGTAAATAAATTTATTTATAAATGTGTAAATTCAAGCATTCAATCATTAAGCAAGATATCTCACATCAGCTGATGTGAAGTCAACCAAATCCATCTTATTTCCGACCAAAACAACAGGGCGATAGTGTTGGGTCAAAGGGACATCTCTCAGCAATGGCAACCAATATGTACTGACTTTTTCTAAACTCTCTTCATCGTTAACTGCATAAACAACACAAACTACATGTGCACGCTGGATTTCTGTTGTGAGCATTTCATGGGTTTGTTCCACAGCTAGAAACAAACACACATCATATATAAAATCATACAGTAAACTGTGTCCAAATCATCTTTTAATAGTGTCATCAACACATACTGTTGCAGATCATGTCATCAGAGGAAAGCCATAAGATTATATTTTCACCATATGACAAGAACTGGAGTAACCACACGAGAGATTTCACTTAACATACAGGACTTGTCTTCCATGATGCTACCTACTCAAGGCATGATTAGGATCAAAGATGTTTTACACAGACAATACAGGAAAACAATGTTTCTATATGGCTATGAGGATTTACTTTGTCTATAGCAGCTTATCAATCAATAAAACTGAAGCCTTAGGATTTGAAATAGCATAATTTATATATAACTCCTAACATTTACTGCTGCAGCTCCTTAAATTACAAAATTAGGATTCCACAGGGAATGGACAACTCTGAGGCCAAATGTGAATATATTCATCTGCTACGATAAATGATATAATGATAAAAACTCCGTCTCAAGTGCAAACAGTATATTTTGTGTCTTTGATCTTGTTCCCCTACACTACATGTTTCGGCCTCAGACGGCCATCATCAGGTGTATAACACTCACGTCGCTGTCACACTGCACCCAGCTCAAAATTTAACATTTAAAAACTCTTTCCTTGTTATTATCAACTTCTACTTCGTTGATAACTGTCTGGTTTGTAGATTATTTTATCTTACACGCGTCAATTTTGACTTTGTTGTAATAGCACTATAATAAAATCTTTAGTTCTAATTTTAAAAACCTTTAAAATTCTTTCCTAAATTTTAAAATTTTTTAAAATTGTTAGGGTTATTCGCCCTGTGTTTAAAGTGCTGCAGCGGCTAGTTCTTGTTACCACACTGTATAGGTGTTATCTGTAATATACAAATATATTCGTATTATTATCTTATGTATGTG